GACCCACAGGCAGCGTGAGAATGTGAACGTGGGGATCATGCTTACAGAAGAAGCGTCGGTCGGTCACGGATGAACTGTACTTAATGGGAGGAGAACTGCTGGGTTTGAAAGGGCAAGGCGCAAACTTCACACTGAGGGGCAGGTCTAGACAGGTACAGGTGGCCCTGGGCACGGAAAGACAGGAAGTACAGGAAGTCAGTGCCACAGGAATGAGGTGCCCAGCAGGCCTGCAGTCCTGTGCAGGAAAAACCAGGGAACTGTATTATTACAATAAACAGCAGCAACATTGTCAGCCCTCAGTTTTTTTTAACTAAACAGCACCTTCCTAATCAATTCCCCCCCCTGCGCTGTAGTGGTCAAAAAGAAACGAAAAAAAAACTTCTACTAAAAAATAAGAAAATGTAAAAAAACAAATCTCAATAAACTCTCCTCATTTTGCAAGAAATGTCACTCTAGAGTCATGAGGCCAAAACAGCACTTGGGTTCTGCGGTCAAGTCTGGGTCATAGGTGTCAAAGACAAACACCCCCCCCCTTGTCCTGTGGCCCGCAGCAGCCCCCTAAAACCCAGTCCTCATTCGTGCCTTGTTCAATCCATGTGGGTCCATTCAGGCTGAGAAACCATGACCAACATAAAGATCCCCCCTTCCATCGTAGGCCAGTGCCTCCCAGGAGGAAAACAGAAAAAAAGACGTGTGATACAGCATGAAACTCAAGAAACATTCAGCACCCCAAACTCGACAACGTCTTCAACTTGATTTGCTCTCGTGAAACGAAACCTGCAAACTGAATTTGCCCTTTCCTGCGGCGCCCTCGACACCGCCCCACAGACCACTCCCGTGCCCTTCAAAGCCCAACTCGTGGGGAGAGGCCAGGCGCGCCCCAGCGAGGTGCAGATGGACAAGCAGGCTGCGGGCGCTGGAGACGGACCAGCCTCTCGGGGCTGGGGGGTGGGGGCGGCACAGTGCTTCTGTAGCGGGCAGGTGTCGCCTGACAGGAGGGCTCTTCATGGACGCAAGCGGGCTCGTATGGGGTCAGGCTGGGTGAGCTGAGGCCACTCACCAAGGAGGTCAGAGACAGAGGCAGCCGCATGCTTGCGTTAACAACCCCTGCACACCCCCCCCTCTTCATTCCAGCTCTGTAAAATGACTTTCAAGAAAACTCACTACCGTATCTCCTACTCCTAGGGAGTCTGAGCGCCCAAGGGCTGTGCTCACAGCAGGAGGGGGTGTTCTGAGACTCCACGCTGTGCATGTTGTGGCCCTCACTGCTAGAGGTCAGCAAGGCTGGCCCATACTAACCTGGGATCACCGAATCCCTCTGCTCTCTACTCAAGCGAGGCCCCCAGACGCAGGGCCCTGTTCCCATAGTGAGTGGTCTAGGTAGGGTCAGTAAGGGACTCCCTTTCCCTTGCTGCTGCTGCTGCTGCCAGGTGGCTGGGCCTGGGCCTGAGCCTGAGGCGGCCGCACGTTCCCGCGGTAACCCTTGTTGCCGTGGCTCCAGCCTGAAGTGCCCTGGAACCCAGGGGCTCCTGGCTCAGCAGGAGCGCCGCGTGCAAACCGCAAGTCCTGGTCCCCGGGGAACTCTGTGGAGGCAGCGCTGGGTGGGAGGGACAGGGACCCCGCCCGCGGACGGCTGGCAGGGGACTGGGGAGAATCTGCCGACTGAGTCCGGGAAGCAAGCCCCACTGCCGCTGCTGCCTTCTGCTGGCCGGAGGACCACACTGCACCGTGCGGAGGCTCCACCCCCTTCTGAGACGGCTCTGCTTTCCTGTTGTGCTGTACATCCGCCCTCCAGAGTGGCTCCTCCTCTCTTAGGTCCACTTTTGGCCCCGCCTTCTCATGTCCCGAGTCTGGCTGTCTTGGACCAGACTCCACCTCCTGCTGAGAGATGAGCTGCAGGAGAGCAGCCGCTACAGCTGGGTTGATGTCCTGGGGCGCAGGGAACTCTGGGTCACCTTCATTCTGGCTGGTGGCTGCCGGAAGTCCAGGAGGAGGGCCAGGGGGGGAAGGTGGCCTTTTCTCCTGGGGGAGTGATCCTTGGCTCGTAATCGCAGCCTTTCGCCGGCCAGGTGCACCAGCTAAAAAAATCAAAGCAGAACAGGGAATTAGGACTGATGCACATCACGCACCTGCCTCTTTAAAGACAACGGACGTGAGGCAGTCCCCAGTAAGTATAAACTTCACATTTACTCAGCTGGTAATGCACTGACCATCTATGTAAAATTAGGAATAGTAAAAATGGAATATACATCTTTAATTATCTGTTGTTGCTGTGCACCATAAACAATATGGACCATATGCTCCGTTTCCTTCTCAGCACAAGGAAAACAAAAATTACACAAAAATAAATCAACTTCCAGCTTCTGCCATCAGATTCTATCTGCTTCCTGCCTACATTTACTGTGATTGGCCTTAGTCTGATAGCCGAGGCTTCTCTTCCCTGAAGAATGAAGTCACAGTCACAGGTTACTCTAGTGACTGAAGTAATCTCCGACATTGACATGCATGCTCAGAGACAACAGAGGGTGGTAGGGATTATATTGATGGAAATGGTGGGACCTGCACATAATTGATCTGCAACTGGAAGAACAAGCCTTCTCAGTGATCACGTATTTTAATGTCCTAAGCCCCATCTACCAGACCGAAACCATGCATGTGTAAACTTAGGAGGCGTGCTTTCACAGATCACCCCAGCCCGTCTACACCCGCTCTCCAAACCGGAGAGACCGATCACGGTTTGAAAAAATATACTAATCACAGGGAAACCCCTGCTTCCGCCTCCAAGAGGGGTCTGAGGACCAATGTTCCCGCTAAGCTGTGCGCGTGTGCGCACGCAGGAAATTGAACTGCGCACACAAAATTAAATTAAAAAATATAATAATAAAACAAACACGAGACTGTCTGCGAGAGGCCCAGCTCGGCTGTGTGCATTATTATTGCTACTCGATATTCGATATCTCTGCTCTCGTGGTCTCGAACCTCACTGCTCCTGCTCGCTCGGCACGCCGTCTCTATGACTGGGCTCGTGGAATCGCTGTCCCAGTCTTTTGGATCTCTATGCTACTATGAGAATGACTATATTAACATAAAATAATTTCAGGTTTACAATTTTACATACACTCAATTTAGTGCGCACAAGGTTTTGTCACTGGGGAAAAAATGCGCACAAAGTTTTGTGCACACAGGCCATTAAAATTAGAGGGAACATTGCTGAGGACATGAGGTTTGGTCAGAGTGGGAGGCTGCTGTCAGAGCAGCTGGGAGCCACCGAGCTCCCCCACTGCCGAATCCCCACGATCCGAATGCAACACTGGCAAAGAATCCGCCAGCGCACAAAATACAAGCCGCTCAAAACTAACGACAGAGACATCGGAGAGTCAGAACACCAGACAAGGCCATGCACCCCACCCAGCCCACAGAAAAGACATTTCTAGAGACCCTTTAGACCTGTCTTGAAAGAGCGGCTCTCTCACAGCTGGCTGAGGCTTCTCTTAGGAGCAGCATTAGACTGGTCAACACCCTGACATACACCAGCACTCTGAACTATCCTTCACGTTCAACCACTTGCTCCAGAGACTGATGAAGTGTCCCTGCCCATCACCATGCAGGAGAAAATACAGCTTCCAAACTACCTAATGGCAGCTCTTAGGACTAGAAGATGATGGATGTCCTGCCTGAGGCCTGGAGTCTCACTTTAAAAAAAAGATTTGGCTCTCTTGTGATCGACACAGCCCTGCTGCAGTTATCTCTGGGTTAGAGGGGGCACCCTGTGGAGGTCAGGTTCGGTGCTGGGCAGTGTTACAGATACACTATCCTGAGAGCTCCCGCGCTGGATAGGCCTTCTGGGATCAACACTGCCTGCTAGGGGTGGTGTCAGCCCGGAAGAATCACAAGGAAACGCTCCAGAGCCAAGATCTTGTTGCTTGCACCACCCTTTGAAGAGGGACTCACTGCGAGACATCACACAATCCCTGCGTCTGGATGCAAAGCAACAGCAGAAAAATCAGGATACTATCACTTGTGCCCAGCACCACCAGAAATACATTAACCTATTCTACTTTAGAATCATCACTGAATTGTGCAAATTGCAACATGTTTGATTTACTGCACTTTATATCCTCATATAATGACTTATGATTAATGCAACTGTCATATTGCCTTAGGGTTGGTTGGGGGTTTGGACAGGGAAGGAGGTAAGCTTTTGAGGAAAGGCTTTAGAATACATTTAAGGTTACTACATACCACATAAACACATTTTCATTTTGCTAAAACCTAAAACGGTCTCAGGACCATAATACGTGGAGCTATGGATTACAGAACCATGCTGTCAATACATGACAAAAAAATAATGAAACTGAAAAAATGACACCAGTTAATAACGCTTGACAGCAGTTTAAATTTCAGACTTCTCTTGTTGTATACAGGGTCACCGGCAGCGAAGCACTTGGTCCAAATTAAACTCTGCCGGCCTAAAACTTTCACACACAAAAATACAAGCAATGCAGCAGCGACTACTGATAACGATCAAGTGGCACAGTGCGTCAGGAGATCTGCTCGTTAGCTCAACTCAGCTTTCATCTCTGTTTAAAATAGAAAAGTATTTAACATGAAATAAAATTCGAAGCATAAAAAGGCAGGAGACAAAATCAAGATTGCTGAACAGCAAAATACAATGAATACAGGAAAACTGAGGGCAGATCTCTATGAAAAATTCCATGTCCTTTAAGCATCTGCTCAAACATGTGACACTTCTCTCCACGTTTGTCAGCCAGCGTCTATCAGCTTGCGGATTTCCGTTAATCCCACCGAAATTGGACAGAAACGGAAGCTCTCAAAAAAAAAAAACCCAAATCTCACAGAGGCAAAAACTGAAGGGAAGCTCTTACCTTTTTTTTTTTCTTAATCGCTTAAGATATTTCAGGAGGATGTGATACAGCAGTGTGTAGAGATGAATAATAAAAAAAAGACATGCATGGGAAATCTAAGGTTTCAAACATTTATTTTGAATTATAATTTATATTTTCTTCACAAAAAGCTGACATTACAAAACTGAGCTTTCAGCAATGGCAGATGGTGAGGAGTTACCAACAGTGTCCTGCTCACATAGAATACGGAACTGGGGCTGTTAAGTGTTACACTAGCATTCTTTTCCGATAAAGTTTATCTATATTTACATTACTGAAGGAAGGAAAAGTATAATACAGAGCCTCACAGTGTCTGAAACGGCGGATTGATCCCACTGGCTCACGTATGTGAGAAAGCCGCACGCGTAAAGCATTTTAGACAAACGTCGGTCACTTCATTTCACAGCCGGTGTGTGCAGAATGTGAGCTTTTTGGGATGAAAACGTCAGAGCTGGTAAAGTGGAGCTTGCAACATTCTGATAAACTAGCCCGAAGCTGAAAAAATTAAAAAACACACCACTTTAAAAAAAGTTTGGGCCAGCAAAGGATCTAGCCAAAAAAATTATATATATAAAAATACATTTCATTATATTTAATGTATGATATTTCATTGAAACCAGTATCGGTTTGCAGTGTTTAGCTGAGGTTTAGTTCCTCTTTCCCACTACAGTATACAGAACACTTGAAACCCAGTGAACTACGCCCCCTAGAGACTAAACTGAGACTTGCCCTTGCAGTCGTTGGCGTTGGCGTTGTGTCTAACCGGCTCCTCTGATTGGACACCGTTGCTCTCGTCCCCTTGCTCCGCCCCTTCCTGGGGTTTGATGAGCTGCCCCAGCAGCAGAGCCAGCAGATTGGGCAGGTCCTCTTGACTGACAGGCAGATCAGCCAACGGGGCCGGCTCTGGGGGCTCTCCGTGCTTCGCCACTGGCTCAGCGCTGGCGGCAGGCTCCTCCACCTGCTCCGGCGCCGCCTCCTCCTCCTCCTCCTCTTCCTCCTCCTCGTCCCGCTGCTTCTGCAGCTGTTTGTGGTGCTCGCGCTGCTGATTGGAGGCCTCAGTCAGCGCCGACAGGGATTGGGTGAGGGTCTCCAGCTGCTGCTGTGTTTCAGGATTGGAAGGAACGTTGAGCAGCTGTGCCATCTGGGGAAGGCTGAAGTCTGTCTGTCTCTGCAGCAGGTTGAGCAGCACGGCCATCTCGTTTTGGTTGAGCTGCTCCGTGGCCTCACCCAGACCTACACATGACAGCACATGAGGGGTCAATACCCACACCAGGCATGCCTGCAGTGCACCTCAGAACCTGTGCACGAACGGAGAACTATCGTCTAGTAAATGGTCTTACCTTCATAACCCCTTACTGGAGATTACACAGGTTTAATTTTTTTTGCAGCTGCTAGTGACTAGTCTCGAATTTGATCTAAGAGAAAAAAATCAATTCTAGATTTCAAATCACTGGTACACAGTAAAAATTGGTGGAGTTATTCCATTTTTTATGCATGTCATTATATTTAATGTATGATATTTCATTCTAAACCAGTATCGGTTTGCAGTGTGTTTAGCTGAGCTTTAGTTCCTCTTTCCCACTACAGCATACAGAACAGTAATCCCTTGTCATACAAGCTTAATACTTTCTTCAAAAACAGCTTGTGTAACAGAAGTAAAATTCCCATTACTTCCTGTGTTATAATCTATGATTGGTTCCAGAGCTCAGAAATGTTCCCTCAAACACTCAGACTTCACAGTACAGCACCTAAGTATGAAAACACTAACACTGCTGGTTAATTATTTGAGTAAAGTGATTAAATTCCTTAGTCGATGCATAAACAACTGATAGAACAATAACTCTCCTGCTCCTTTATGCTACTGTACAGTAGCTACATGGCTACAATGATCAAACACAAACATCCCGTGCTATTCCTGTAAACACATGGACTTAACACACACAAGCCTTCATTATGAAAATAGAATAATAGAAAATAGAAGAAAATAAAAGAAGATGAGTAATTTTAAAACTTGGCAATGCTTTACATGAGCCCAGCACAGGAGAGCAAAAATCAGCTTATTAAATAAAAAACAGGTGGGAATGACTCATATAGGGAGACCATACTGTATATTCCATCTATACCCTTAAATCACTTTATCAAGATACCTTTCACTGGCTTGTTTAAATACAAGGACTCCCCAGGTTACACAGCATTCATCTTGCACAAATTCTCTTTTATACAATACCACCATAATTTAAACGGTCTGTATAATCTGTATAAGCAAGAGCATTCGTTATATTACAAAATGCCTTAAACTTAGCTAAGCAGTGTCTGAAATAAGACAGGAATCCACTAACAAAGTATAAAACGGTACAGGCTCAGGACTGAAATCTGGCCCCAGGAACCGAACCAGGCTCTCAGAGAAGTTGAGGACAGTTCGTATTATTCATGTCTGAAGAAGCTACACAATTAGCTGTCTGTATATGTTCTTAGGTTTGCAAAACCCAAAAAACAAGATCCTTATTTCCTTAGAATTAGACTGCTACACAGGTAGAAAAACATTCCAAATCACAGAAGAAAATGTGTACTTATGTTGCAGCTTTCGCAAGTGATCTACTTAACATGGCCAAAGTAAACTAAAGCAATAAAATTACTGCTTCACATTCTTCTCCACAGCTTGAAAAAAACCAATGCAAACTTGTTTTAGTACAAAAAAAGCAGAAGTCACTTTTCTAAGATATAAACAAATAAGGTTCAAATTCTTCTTTAAGGACAGGGTATTGCTAAACCTACACTGGCTAGCTTCACAGTACTCATTTTACCATCTGCAGGTATGTTTTGACTATTGTTCTGCAATACCTTTCATGAGTACAGCAGTAAGCTCAGAACAAAGAACCTAGGAAAAAGGCTGTAATTCTTGAAAGATGTAAGGAAGTCTGGTGGTGTTTAGTCATCAGATTCTCTTTGCACTTCTATGCAGACTTAAAAAAAAAGACAAATTCCCTTTTCTCACACTCAAACCACTCAATCGATGACTTCACAATAAAGCACTGGTTTCTGGGCAAGTGCAAGTAGTGGTTATATGCACAAATGAAGAGGTACTGTGTAACTATAGGGGTTCAGGGTGACTTCGGAGTATGAACTTACAGGCCCTGGTCATCTTTGAGGATTTCAGTAGGAGTAGTTGTGTAATAAGTGTTACATTTAATTTTTAACGTAAAGGTCATTTGTACTAGCAAAGAGAAAGAAAGAACTGAGACTTCAAAGATCTTATATTTTTCTTCAGCTGAAATCAGGTGGCGAGTGTTGGTCAGCAGAATGGACTCGGGTCCAAGCTCACACAGCAGAAAAAGCATCCTCATGATGCCCGAACAGGTTAATCCCACTGGGAACAGTGGCTCACAGCACGCTGGCAGACCGGAGATAACCGATTGTCTTGCATGCGCAAACGATGAAAACCTCACTAGGACAAAGCATACACAGGCAGCAGAAAATCTGTACTGCAAAATACCATATAGTTACACAATGATCCCTCTACTTAGGAAGCACAAGACATTAGAAATGAGGGAACAATTCTGTAAAGGAAGTGGCTGTGCAGTATACCCCCGCCTCCCACAAGCCTCTGTGTAAAGACCATCCTGGTGAGACGCCTGTCAGAAGCAGGTCACCCAAGACTCTTCCTTGAGTTAAGACTAGCTTTGATCATTTCATCTTAAGGCGACAACCATGGTGGGGATGATCTGTACTGCCCTTGCTGTTCATTTAACGTGATATTACAGGGTAATGATAAAGTCAGTTAGCACACACATAGCTCCGTCCTCCCTCATAACACGGAAGTTTTAATCGGGTTAAGATGTTAACAACAACATTCAACACACAGCCATAAAGGAAAATTACACAAGTAGTAATAGACCCCAAAGCAAACTAAAAGCAAAATTAAGAGCATAGCTGCAGCTGTATCCTAAAAGGCTCAGAAGAAACATAGGAAGAGGAGTATCTAGGCAGATAATTTGATCCAAATAAAGCTGGTCACTGTACCAGAACAATCTAAGTGAGGTCCATGCTTAAGGGTACAACAGCAGAGCCCCAGACAGGAGTTGAACATACAACCTTTGACTTACAGAGTCCCTAACCGCTGCACAGTGCTGTCTCACAAACCCTACAGGACTTGGTTAAAGCTGACATGCTGTAGGGGGGCAGCCCAGAGGATAACTTAACCAGGACACCCGGGTTCACCCCACTGCGCTAAAGAGCAGTACCACAGCACCTTTAATGAGCGTGTCGTCAGGACATCCACTTGATGTGATCACCGAAAACCAGCACCTCCCACAGGACAGTGTCCCCGGTCACCATACTGGACCAAAGACTACCAATTCGCCCCCGAGGGCTGAGGGGCATTCGGATGTCTGTATTAGATATGCTCTACTTACCTCACAATTAAGCCGTTCCAACCCTTGAAACTGAGGGCCTAACGGTTACCCAGAAATTCTGCTGGACTGGAGTCCTGCAGCACCAGGGATGGAGACCCCTGGTTAGCAACAACCCACACACACAAGGCACTAACGCTTCCTGGGGGGCAACACCCTCTGTACCCCCAAACGACACCCCTCACCTCCTCACTGGAGTTTTTCAGAATCGGGCAAAGACACAGAGAGAAAGAGGGCGGGTGCAGAAACCCAGGAAGGCAGGCGGCTCTCGTGGGCTC